GACATTTAGGATATTAAAAATAATTTTTAACATGTGTTTTTATTTATTTTGCTATTTATTTTTTTAGACAAGTGTATAGGTTGTATAAAAATTGTAATAGCTTAGTGTTTAATTTCTCGCAAGGCTTTATTAAATATTGTAACTGCCCCGAAGCCATGTAATAGTCCTAGGGCTTTACTTCTCGCACTTATATTTTCTATACCTGTGTATATAACTGTTAGATGTATGCTAATAGGCTTTGTATGGAAAGATAAAAAACGATAGAAAACCCTAATTCAAGATAATATAACTGAATTGAACACACTTTTCACACTCGTACCTCTAGGGTAACCTCTCTTTGTTGCCTTCGGGAACATGGTCATGTCCCTTGAAAGTAAGGGTACTTTAGCAAAGACCCTCGATTAAATTATCATAATCCTTTCGAATAAAGATCATAGTCCCGTAATGTCCCTCGAGTTGCCTACAAAAAGATGATCTAGTCCCTTGTTGCCTACGAATAATATGATGACACTCCCTTCGAATTGCGAAAGTATCCTTACAAGTTGCTTTTTATGACCATACAATGACCCTTCGCCTGTCCCTTCACATCCAATAGATAGGGCTACCTACCAACTAATGGTATGAATAACACTATCTCTAATGGAGTAGGAAAAGATTAAGAACAACCTTTAGTGGGTAAGGAACTTTTAATCGCTTGCTCAAAACCTTTTTACAAACAAAACATTTTTATACATCATACTTTTCAAGCCAATATTTTCAAACACTTTTTACGCATTCTTGAGGACTGATACAAGAATCATTACAAAGTTATATTTTCAAAATATTTTTAAACAAATCACACACACACACAATAACTTTCAAAGTCAGCTAGCTATTAAGAGCCCGTAGATAACTATGGATGAAAATAGTCCTAACACCTTCCCTTTTCATAACTTACCCCCGAACTCAAAATCTATCAAGGTCTTTCTTATTCTTTTCACCCTTTCCTTATATTGGATAAAATAAAAGTCGGTGGTGACTCTTGCTAACCTAAACATTTGGGATAAAACACTAAAAAAGTCAGTTCTCCCAGCGTATTATAGAACTGATGACTCTGTTGGGGACATAATTAAAAGAGGGGTTACCTTAAGAGTTTAGATCACTTTACTTGCTTAAATTTTATTCTTTTTTGCTTTAAATTTAAGGGTTGCTTGGGTTTATTATTACTTGTAAGATCCTACACCTGGATCTAGGGATGCCTTAGGTAAGTAGCAATAGATTATGAAAGCTATACAATGTAGACCGATATGGTTGAGCTGATGGCTATGGTTAGTGCGACACTTTGGTTTGTACTAATGTTCCTTGAGTCAGTCAGGGATAACATTAGGCTTCCGTGTGGTGTCATTAGCACTAACTTATTTTTAGAACCTTAATTGACCCATCTTAGCCATTAGAAGGTAGTGATATGGTCGGATTTGGTGCAATCCAAGGTTGGTTGATACATGATGCTACACTCATTGATATTCGACTCTCGGGATATTTAGTTGGAAAACCAGTTGTTGTGCTAAAATAAAGCCTGTGAGAAAGATCGACGATATGAGATTCCTAGAACCCATATACTATTTCTAGGTCATATTGAGCCAATTTAACTTCAAAAGAGAAGGGTACTTACCTATGGACCTCGTGCAAGCCTTTAAACCTAAGGCTCTTGTGTGATTTGTTTGTGTTTGTTACTTATTTAAACATGAACATAACATCATGACATTATGACATCATAACATTTTCACTAACCGTTTCAAGGACCTAGGGATTTATCTTTGTCCCTTGTTACACGTCATGGCTTACGCTTGCAGAAATACTATTTGAATCAAATTTAAAAAGGTACCTTCCAAACTTAAGGAGTTAGTCTCAAAAAGGTTCTAGGAAACTCTCAATTCACCAAAATGCATGACTATCTACTCAGTTTGGTTACCCCCGTTTTCAAAGAAGACATGATGAGTGTTCTGTTCTAGTTCTTTGATCCTAACATAATTATTTTACCTTCTCGTATTATCAGTTGGTGCCCACAATGGAAGAGTTCTATAACCTACTTGGAGTTCCTATTCTTGATCAGACACCTTTCACCGGTCTAGAGAAAGTTTGAAAACCAGAAGATATTGCAGCAACCTTACATCTGAAGCGGTCATACATTGTATCTAATTGGGAAACAAGAAGTGGGGTTGAAGGTCTTCTTGCTAAATTTCTGATAGAGAAGGCTTAATTGTTTCTAAATGCCATGAGTTTTCATGCTTTTGAAGATATTTTGGCTTTGTTGATCTATGGTTTGATAATATTCCCTAATCCGGACCAACACATAGATGTTGACGCCATCAAAATATTTCTTACTCACAATCCTGTGCCTATTTTGCTTGGAGATATTCTACATTCTCTTCACACTCGTACTATGAGGAAGCGAGGGACTCTCATGTGTTACATACCTTTAATTTTAAGGTGGTTTATTTCGCACCTTCCCCGATCAGTGATGAAGAATGAACAAGGTTTGAGGTGGTCTCAAAGGTTGGTGTCACTCACTCATTCAGATATCTATTGGTGTTCCCGATCTCAAGAGGACATCACCATTATTGACCGCTGTGGGGAATTCCTTAATGTGTCATCCTTAGCATAAGGGGAGGTATCACTTATAACACTTCTCTAGCTCTACGTTAGTTTGGTTATGCTCAAAGAGATGATCCTCATGATATGTTTATCCAAGGTGTTATATTCGACTACGAGAATTATCTTCAAGGTTACCGTTAAAGGTTTATCCATGCTTAGGGCATGATCAATAAGATTGATAGCAAGACTTTGGGGCATAAGAACTCCATCCCTTTGGAGCCCTACCTCATATGGATGCGGTCTTGTGCTCAAAATCTTATAATGCCATATCCTGCTGTCCTACCAGTAATTGTGGAGCCTGTTATTGAAGGAGATGTTCCTCATACCATTCTTCATCTTGATATGCCTACTGACTTTGAAGAACTACAGAAGTCATAGATTCAACTCAAGGAAGAAAGGGGTACCTTTGAGACTCAGTTTTATGCTAGTGAGAAGAAAGTATTGGAGCTAATGAAACGACTCCATGAAGAGCGGAGCCTTAATGCATATGTCAACACAAAGAGGAAGCATCCATGGGAGACTTAATGCCTTAGGCCTTAAGAGTCTCACAATTTAACTATATGTTTTTCATTGTAGGCCTAAAAGGCAATTATAATTTGAACTTACTACCGAGTTTCTTTGTTTCCTTTTTGATTAACAAATTTAAATCCCATGAGGACCTTGAAAACATCGCATATTCATTTACATACCATATCATTACATAACAGGTATTCTCAAGACAGGTTTCTCATCTTCTTGCTGTTTATTTCAGCAAAAATGACTATTGAACAGACAATCAAGGATCTCGAACTTAGAATGCCCAATTCCAACATATATTCCTGAACTTAGCCAAGGGGTAGGAAGAGCTGAAGGCACTCATCACCAAAGAGAAGAAGAAAAAGACAAAGAAACCATCCGACATCCTTAACATGGGAAGAAGATTCCGGGTGTTGCACCCCAAAATTTTCCCTCCTAATTGATACTCTTATCTGGCTTAAGTTTAGCATTGCATTCATCTGTATATATTCTATTAGGGAATTAACATACATTTGCATTCAATAGAGTACCATGAGGTTCAAAGTTTATTGGTTGTGCAATATAAGGGTTTTACACTGGTTAAGGCGTTCGTATCAAATAAAGTATGATTTCTTCTTCAAGCGTTGAGCAGTGGAATTAGGATTGCGAGATGTGGTAGTAAGAATTTCTTATTCGTCAAGCTATAAGGCCATTCTCCATCCGGTTTCATCAGTTCCAGAAATTAGGGTTTATTTCCCTATGTATTTCATGAAATTAGGGTTGCATCACATGGATGTCTTGCTATGCTTTTAGTTTCATATGAGTCAAGGAATTTCCTCAAGAAAGGTTAGTTTGGCATTGAGGTCATTGGTTTTGAAGTCAAGGACTTGTGATTTGAATTTCAAAGACAATGAGTTGTGGTATAAGATGTTGAACTTATGGATCCAATGTGGGCGATACATTATTACTTATTTTATTTTTTGTTTTATATGGATTTAAGAATCGAAGTTAGGAGTAATTGAGAATTGAATTTGATTTGGATTCATTCAAATGATCACTTTATGCCATGGATTCAACGCGATCAAAATTCTTAAGAGGTAAACATAAGTTTGTGACTTTGAGATCATATGGATTTGAGTCACAAAAGTTGTGTCGACGCTTCAAGTATTCAAAACTTGTTCAAGACCTTATTCAAAAGTTAAAAGGAATCATCATTCCTTCAAATATTTGTCATTTTTCATATAAGGGTGAATTGGATTAGAGGGTCATTAAAGATATGAGTAATTCTTTCATGTGTCGTTTTGGATTGCAATACAAGTGGACTTATAATCAAGGAAGGGTTCTCATTGAAGAACTCGCTCAAAGTGATTCTAAATTCAATCATTGTTCGTAATTCAAAAGGTTTCATACAAATCATCATTCAAAGTTATTTCAAGTTCATCCAAAAGGTTTCATAATCATACAAATCTCATCCATGTTTCTCTTCAGAATTACAAATTGCAAGTAGTATTGCCATTACATTTTGAGAAATTACAAAAAAGAGAGGTTATATATCCATCGTAAGCCTAAGTGTTCCTTAAAATGATATAGCTTATCAAAAGAACGGCTTCCAAAACACATTCAAGCCTGTTCCAGACCTTTAGCCAATTCTATGGAATCTTGATCTTCCTTCTCGGATAATCAGACCTGCTATAGTGAATAAGCCCCTGCAATTTTCAGGAATAAATTCAATACCAAACATACATTAGCTTGAATGTGTTCGCATAACATGCTGTAATTTGTCAAAACTATGGCACTACTATCAATATATAACAAAAAACTAATTACCTATTTTTCATAACAAATTTCAAACCCTCTAAAAAATCATATTCATGTTTCATTTCACTATTTTCCCAGATTCATATGCCATTCACCATAATTATCATTCTTCATTCGTTATGAGAAAATCACAGAAAAGCTCAAAAATAAAAACAAACTTCTCTACAATGCTTCAGCCATGCATACTTTCCACCTGCATCATGGTCAAATATCAAACTAGAAATATGCATCTAAATCTACAAAAATTGATTGATATCCAAACTATATAAACATACACAATAAAATGCATTGCTGCCCTGTTTCAACAAAAAGATCACCCTGCACATAAAGCAGTACATGACAGTTCAGCCCACAATAAACCAGAGATTTATCGAGAAATGCTTCAGACCAGATGAAATTGGATTCACAACCAAGCTAGTTCAGAATATCAGAAAAAGGAAAATATCATGGAAATTTTATGAAAATAAACCGGAAAACAATGGAAAATAGCAGAAAATCAAGAGTTAGCGGCTAACTATCAGTATATCGGAAAATCAGAAATATAATTAAAACAACAAGAATTCTAACTCTTCCTGATTTTCTAGCCATCTAACAGAACCAACTAATTTTCTAATAGCTCTAACAGAATTATAAACTAACAGCATTTAACCAACCTCCTAACTGTTTTCTAACTTCCTGTAACAACTCTAACCACCTCCAATATAACATAAGCTAACTAACAATTTAACAAAACTTCCTCTAACCAACCCTTAAACAGTTAGTAACTAACTTTCAACTAACTTTTTCCTAACAACATAACAGAAATTCAGCAACCAAAGGCCATGATTGAATTCATTTCCTAACTAATTTTCATTTCTAATAGAAGTATAAGAAAAAAACAAACTCACCAATTCATGGAGGATTCACGATACATTGATACAATTTTTCAATCCATCACAATAAGAAAAAAAACTCACCAGAAAACTCTCTAACTAAAGTTCTTCACAGTTGACAGAAGAATCACACAGAAAATCTCTCTGAAATTCTCTCTTCTTCCATCGATCATTCCTCATTTTCCTCTTCAGAAGAATCACAAAAATTCTCTCCCTCTTCAATCTCGATTTTCTCTCACCTTGATCTTCATCTTCTTCCTTCAATATTCATAGAAGAATTATATATTCTTCACTCTGTATATTCATCAACTGAAAAAGTAGAAAAAATAACTTCATCTTCAAGACACTCTACATCAACAACTTCATCATCAAATCCTCAATCTGCAATTGTCTTAAACAACACTACAAGAACCTCATAACCGCCACCAACTTTCTTCAACCTCAATCATCATCACCTTTGCTCTTTCTCAGCACTCCATAATCTTCTTCATCAATTTCACGATTGCAACACTAACACCTTCATCATCACGCATCTCTTCGAGCCATCTCACAGCTCCAAAATTAACTTCATCAAGCTGCAGAAGCTTGTTTCAATTTCCATCTGGTTCTTCTTCGCTTATCATCACCTCAATATCATATTCTCACTGCAACAATATCATCATCTTCGTCGTAGTTCAACCTCCATCTACAACATCAATACCACGCATTAGAGAATAACATCAACGTCAAATTTGCAATCACAACAACTCAAAACTCACACAGAAAACAAAGAATCATAAGCAGAAGGGAAGAAACAAGAAGCGAAAGATTTAGCTAAACTTGCGCATCTCTGAAAATGCACCATAACTGCCGCCGTCAAGATAGGTTACACAATATTTTTTTTCCTTGATTTCTCAGCGCCACGACATAGTTTAAGATTTACTGGAAATTTCCCCTTTACTGGTGACTTGAAGTTGCACTTCGTCCCAGTTCAATCTCCATTTATGAGCGTCTTCTTCCACAAACTTGATTCAGAGATTGATGAGGAATTAGGGAAAACAAGGTTGAGATTTGAGTTAGGGTACGGAGACAGAGATTTCTGGTTACAGCAGAGAGAATTTTGTCCCAATGGCGACAGATCGGAGAAGAAGAAGTTCAGTTGTGCCACAAATTGTTGAGAGAGAAAGGGAAGAGATTGTGGATTGATAAGCTGAAAGGTTACAAAAGTTGTAACCATGTCCTTCTCAGATGGACTTGGAATTGGAGATGGGACCGGTTTCCACTAGGCCCATCAACGTTTTTTTAAAACTTATTGGTAGAGAAAACAGAGCATCTGGGCTCATGGTTTTTTATGAAGCCTGAAACAATGGCAGAAAAAGAAAAAATTTGCTCGTTGGATCACATTGATGGGCCTTAGTGCCAGCTTACTTCACCATAGGACCTGATCCGGTTTTTGCACCCCCTTGGGCCTTGTTTTTTTATTTTGGCCAATTTTGTTGAATAAAGTTGTTAATTGTTTAGATTTCTTTTATTTTTTTTCTCATGACAAAAAATAATAAATTCAATAATAATTGTTATATTTTTTATTTGATTTTGGAAATTAAATCGAGATTACCCGATTACTTGAGATTTGTGATTCACCTTTGCTTATTTAGATTTGAGTCTTATGCAGGTTTGTGGTGTGATACTCGGATGCGCTTGAGATTTTAATTGTGATTTATTTTCACATCGATGATGCTTCGACGCTTATCCCGAGCATTTGATTTCTGACTCTTTTCTCTTCTTGGTGAAGTTTACTCGAAGTTTTATGGGTTTCTCTACTTTTCTTGCTGTGCCACAAACATTTGTTCATTTGGTATTTTCTTACAAGTTGCTTACAAGTATCCTTACAGGGCATGTCCCTTCGCATGTATCCTTACAGGGCAAGTTTCTTATGAGTATCCTTACAAGTTCCTTTCTATGACATTATGACGACCCTTCGTATGTCCCTTCACATCCAACAGATAGGGCTACCTACCAACTAATGGTATGGATAGAACTATCTCTAATGGAGAAGGAAAAGATTAAGAACAACCTTTAGTGGCTAAGGAACTTTTAATCACTTGCTCACAACCTATTAACAAACAAAACATTTTTACACATCACACTTTTTAAGCAAATATTTTCAAACACTTTAAACGCATTCTTGAGGACTGATACAAGAATCATTACAAAGTTAGCTTTTCAAAATATGTTCAAACAAACCACACACACAAAGCAACTTTCAAAGTGAGCTAGCGATTAAGATCCCGTAGATAACTACGGATGAAAATAGTGCTAACACCTTCCCTTTTCATAACTTACCTCTTGAACTCAATCTATCAAGGTCTTTCCTGTTCTTTTCACCCTTTCCTTATATTGGATAAAAGAAAAGTCGGTGGCGACTCTTGCTAACCGTAACATTTGCGATAAAACACTAAAAAAGACAATTTTCCTATCGTATTACAACTATGTCATTAACATATATTTGAGCTATCATGATTTTTCCATCCTTCTCTCTAAAAAGCAATGTCTTGTCTATTCCTCCTTTCTAGTCGCAATTGGTGACAAAAATTATGTCAACCTCTCATACAAAGCTCTAGGAGCTTGCTTCAAACCATTGAGAGCTTTCTTTAGCTTTAACATGTGATCTGGATAGTTAGGATCAATAAACCACTTGGTTTGTTCAACATAAACCTCTTCATATAAGTATCCATTCAGAAAAGCACTTTTACATACATTTGAAATAGTTTAAATTTCAATAAGTAGTCTCCTCCTAAAATTAGTCTGATTGATTCAAGCCTAGCCACTAGAGCAAAAGTTTCATCAAAATCTAGCCCTTCAATCTGAGTGTATCCATGTGCTACCATTCTTGCTTTATTTATGGTGACAACTCCACTTTCATCAGTTTTGTTCTTCTATACCCACCTTGTTCCTATGACATTTATTCCAACAGGCTTAAAAACCAAATCCTTAAACTTCATTCCTCTTGAATTGATTCAGTTCTTCTTGTAAGGCATTGATCTAGAATTCACCCGTTAAGGCTTCCTTCATATTCTCGATTTCAATCTTAGATATAAAATAAGAGTTAGAAACCACTTCCCTTGATTTAATAGTGACCCCTTGATTAGGATTTCCTATAATGATTTCTTTATGATGATCTTTCTGAATCCTGATTGATGGACCCTTATTAACTTGACTGGCATTTGGTTCAACATTAGCAGCCTTAGTGTTGTTTTTGTCTTCACCCACATCTTCTGACTCATCATTCATCTAGAATGTTGTCTCAACATTTTCTTCAGCATCATGTACATTGTATGTGCTTAAATCGTCAACCACAACATTTATAGATTCCATCATGACCTGAGTTCTATTATTAAAAACTCTATAGGCTCTGTTGTTTGTAGAATAGCCAAGAAACATCCCTTCATCACTCTTGGAATCCATCTTCATATGAGGTTCAAGGTCATCTAAGATGTAACACTTACTGCCAAACACATGAAAGTATTTGACTATAGGCTTCTTCCCTTTCCATAACTCATATAGAGTATTTGTGGTCCTAGTCCTTAGGGTGACTCTATTATTAATATAACATGCAATATTCATTGCTTTTGCCCAAAAATGGTAAGGCAACTTGTTTGCATCAAGCATAACTCTTGCTTATTCTTGCAATATCCTGTTTTTTCTTTCCACGGTCCCATTCTTCCGAGGAGTGATAGGAGATGAGAGTTCATGACTAATACCTTAAGAGGCACAAAATTCAGCAAACTCGCTGTTTTCAAATTCCCTACCATGATCACTTATGATCCTAACAATGTTTCTATCATTCTCTCTTTGAAGTTTTTATCACAAATCCTTGAAGATATCAAAGACTTCTGATTTTTCTTTGATAAAATTTATCCAGATGAATCTTGAAAAATCATCAACAACAACATATACATATATTTTTCCACCAAGACTTTCAACCTACATAGGAACCATCAAATCCATATGAAGAATTTCCAAGTGTTTTGAAGTAGTCAGAAGTTGAAGCTTTGGATGTGACTTCTTAATTTGCTTCCCAATTTGACATTCTCCACATATCTTCCATTCTTCAATTTTGAGTTTTGGGATGCCCTTGATTGCTTCTCTAGACATAACTTTCTTTATACCTCTCAAATGTAAATGACCAAGTTTTGGGTGCCACATATTGACTTCATCATGTTTTGACAGCATACACATGGAAGTATAACTGACTCCTTGGGATGTCCACAAATAGAAATTATCTTTGAACCTATCTTCTTTCTTTACGACTTTATTCTTCTTATTGGTGACCACACATTCAGATTTTGTGAAGTGCACTTTAAGACCTTGATCACATAGATGACTAATGCTAATTAGGTTAGCAATCATACATTTTACAAATAGGACTCTATCACGCTTAGGAGATCCTTCACAAGCTAGTCTTCCAACACCTTTAATTACTCCTTTGGCACCATCTCCAAAAGTAACATAGCTGGTAGTATGAGGTTGAACATCTACAAGCAAGTTCTCCACACCTGTCATATGTCTAGAGCATCCACTTTCAAAATACCAGTCTTCGCTAGATGAGACCTTAAGAGAAGTATGAGTAATGAGATTCTTGACAACATCTTTATATTTCCACTTTTTCCCTGTTTTGATCACATAAGGATTTATACTAACTTGAGATGGATGTTTGTAATATCAACGAAGCTTATTACAGACTGTTCTGTATGACCATATCTTTCACAAAAATAAACTATCAATGGTTGTGACTGGACTTTTGTCTGAGCTTCATAAGGTATGGATAAATGTTGTGACATTTGATCAGACATCTTGATTTCATCCTTCATTCTAGTTGGGAAAATTTTGTCTCATGAATTTTTCCTTTGTTTTTCAAGGATTGATAGTTAAACCCTATGCCAATATGTCTTCTTCCTTCTTCTACCTCTTGAAGGATTTCATCCAATACATCATATCCATTCTTTAACATTCTAACACCTTTGATTAAATTATCAAGTTTTGATGTTATCAAGGTTACCTCTGCTTGAAGTTCAACAATGTGAGCTAGGTTGAAATCCTGGTAAGCCAGACTTTAGTTGTCCTATGACATGTTGGGACAGCTGACCTGACTTAAAACACACAGGCAAGATATAAACAATAAAAACAATAATGAAAAATCATAAATAACACACCATAATTGTTAACCCGGTTCAGAGAAACTCTCCTACTCTTGGGGCATACCAAGCCAGGTACAAGTCAAATATAATAATATCAATTCGAAGCTAAACCCCCCTGTTTATAACTTCTCACTTAATCACTACCTGTACTATACCCCTATCTAAGACTCACCTAGATATGAGGCCCTCCTCAATCCCTCATCAATAACAGACAATTATTGGACAACACAAGACATAATTCCATGACAAAAATAGAAGACACACTTCCATGGGCAATGCGGAGACTGTAACGGAGTAATCCGGAAGTAGTCGTTACGCGATATTGCACTCGGACGAGTTTTTCCTACGAATATTACTGATTACCAAGTAATTGGGATGTCGGTAATATCCAAAGGAAGAGCGTAGAATTAGAGAACTCTTTAGAACCTTGTTCGGCAGGTGATAACCCCTAGTACATACCTCGTGGGTGGTTACTTTGACTCCATGCCTGTGACGTCGAACTTTTGATTCTGTTACTTTCAGCCTGTGCATTGGACTACACAATGGTTATCCAGAATATGTGGAGCTGAGACTTCATGCCATAGCATACCATGACATCATATCATCATATACAAAATGGAACAATGAGGCTACACAAAGTCTGTAAAATCTTCTCCAAGAAAATAGGTCTTCAATCATTAGTGTCCTAAAATATCTCCATATTTAGAAACTTTGAATATCTTGTGTCATACCCCAAATTTGTCAGCCCTCAGTGCTACCATCATGTTTATTTTCAAACTTAGTTTTTTATAAAATTCTTTTTTTTTTACATTAATAATTTGGGGTTTTATAAATATTCGTTCTTAAGTCAAGTTAAAAATATAATAATTTATTTCAAATTATTTGTATTTTTAAATAATAAATACTTGCTCGTCTTCATGTACTTTCAATTGGATTTTTATTTCGAATAAGTAACATAGCACAGTTGGTAAAGAATAAAGCTTGTAAATATGAGGTTGAAGGTTTGAATCTCTTATGGTACACTTTTTAACATTTTTTC